AATTAAATATTCTGTCTTCTGTTTCACTTCCTGTTGTTAATCCTCAACATCAAAGTCACCTCCTCCTTAGTGCAGTGGTTAGCATCCCTGCTTTACACTGACACGCATTTAATACAAATTATTAACTTCCTTAAATAATTCATGCAGCTAGACATTATTCCTGCATTTTACAAGACTAGTAACCTCTATTTTACATTCTTCAGTACTAAAAATGCAATGGAGGTTACAATATATATAGATAAAGAGACTAAGACAAAGAAGCCTAGAATAGCAAAAATTATTTGAGCAGAATTCTGTGATTTTAAGCTGAGATAGTCAGTCACATAAACTCACAGACTTTCCAACAAAAGAGTCTACAGAAACAAACAAGAAAAAAAAAAAAACTGGGACATTAATTATAATTTCCAATCGTTCATCCACAATTTGATGAAGTCTCTGAAGTAAATCATCTTAAGACAGAGAAACACAGTTTCACAGCGTCCAAAATGAGTTAAGACTTGAGCAGATGCAAGAAGAACTACTGGGCTATTTTAAAATCTGCACTGAAATACAATGCACTGCTGACACACGCTAGGGTTTTAGGAATGGATTAGTAGGTGTGCTGAGTTAAGGGATGCTGCAGCTGTAAAACTTCTGAGACGGAATTAAAATGGAGAAGGAAGGGGAGAAAAAAAAAAAACAGGGAGAAAGGAGAAAAGTTGCCCTGATAGTGGCTGAGCTGTCAGGAGCATGTGTGTTTCCATGGTGAGTGATTTATTGATGTTTATCAGGAATGAATAGATCAAAGGCTGCCAGATGACAGGCGATCAATCACGCATCAAATCAAGGATGGCAATCCTCTAATAAAACAGAAAACAAGGAAAACCAGCTCCTGCCAGTTCCTCCTCCAGAGAAAAATAACTTTTCTCTTCAATCGGATTCTGCACTATCACTGCCTTCTGTTTGCCTGATCAAAAGACATCTTTAGAGGTAATAAAAAAGAGGGGAAAAAAGCCTCTTCAACGTGACATTAAAGGCTGCTGTTTTCCAGTGAAATGCACTGGCCAGATGCCTCGCTGTGTCCCATTTTGTTGACTTTTGTTTCGCGAGTGTCAGGTTCAGCCTGGATACGGTCTGACACACTTTTAAAGCAGACTATCCCTGCCCTGGCACAGCGGAGCTCCCTCCCCTCCCCGGCGCTGCCCTGGGCACCGCACACACGCACACGCGGACCCGCATGCGGAGATTACAGGACTGCAACAAAATGAAGTTTCTAGTTTTAAACGTGTTGGCAACGGCGGAGAGGATGGAGGCTGTCAGGCTCGGCGTGACACACCTCAGAACTACGCCGATCCCTCCAGCTCCCGCGTACAAAGAAGTACAAACTACAGCCCCTGTCTCTTCCCCACCAAGGTGCTGCTCCCCCCCTCCCCGTCTTCCCCCCCCCCTCCGCCCCAAACCCCAAACCCCCGGAGGCAGCCACGCGGGGTGTTTTAAATCTGCGGCAGGGCTGGAGGAACCGCTCCCCCCGCGGCGATGCTTCCCGGCGGGTTAACCCCTCCCCTGCCGTGCCCGCGGCACCCCAGCGCGGGAGGCGGAGGGTGTTACCTGCGGAGCGCCGGGGTGCCTGCTGCTTTCTCCGCGGCATTGCTGCCGCCGCCGCCGCCGCCTCGCCGCCCGCCGCCGCCGCCGCCGCAGAGTTTCCACGCAGGACTCCTCTTCCGATCCCACTCTTTTCATGCAGAAACAAACACACACCCGCGCACGCACACACACAAATAAAAAAAAAATAAAAATATGGGGGGGGGGGGGGGAAGGAGGGAGGGAGGGAAGGAGGGAGGGGGAGGAAGGAGAAAAGAAAGCGGATTCAACTTCTAATTCTGCCTAGGAAGAGCGAGAGGGAGGGTGGGGAGGAATGGGAGAGAGGGAGAGGAGGAGGAAGGAGGGGGGGGGGAGGAAGGAGAAAAAGTTTGGTCGGGTTCTCCTCTCGCCCGGTCCGGGTTCCCCCCCCGGGTCAGCTCCCGGCGCGGCGAGCGGGGTGCGCGGGGCGGGGGGGAAGGTGGGGTGTGGGATGAGGCAAGCCACAGACTGGTGACAGGGATGCCAATTTCCGCCGCCACTCCAAAAACTTGCTTAGGAAATGTTTTCATTTACAAGGTTAATTTTTCCTCCCTCTCTCTCTCACACACTCTCTCTCTCTTTCTCTCTCTTTTAAGTTCCTTATAAGACAAAGCTCTTCAGTCCTCTCGGCAGCAGCAGCAGCAGGGAAGATGCCAGTGGAGATGTGCAAAATAAATAAGATTTGATCAGTTCAATCTGTAGCCCAAATCCATTATCTTTCTTTCGCTCCTTTTTTTTTCTCTCCTCCTTTTTCTCTCTCCCCTTCTCCCCCTCCTTTCCTTAATCACTTCTTCGTCTTCTCCTTCTTCGCGGTGGAGAGCCGAGCAAGCGGCGGCGATGAGACGGTAAATTCAGTCACTCCCCCCCTCTCAGGCTTTCTCCGAGATCAAAGAGTCTCAAAGCGCAACTTTCTCGCTCGCTCGCTGGCTCGTTTCAAGCTCGTGGATTTGTGTGTTGTTGTTGCTGTTGTTGTTGGGGGGTTTTTTTGTTTGTTTGGTTTTTTATTGCGTTGGTAATAGTTTGTTCATTGTGCAAAAAACGAGGTCGATCCAGTCTCTCCTTCTCCTCCCAGCACTTAGTCTAAGAGCAAGGAAGCAAATCATAAAAAGGAGTAAAGCCCCCATACATACATATACACCGGATGGGAAATGTCAGTCACTCCTCCACCTTCCAAACAGTCACAGATCAAACAGTGTCACCACCGGAGAGGACTACTTTTCTCTCTTGCTCTCCCTTTTTTTTCTCTTCCACAAATCGAAGCTTCTTCTGCTACTAAATATAATGCAAACACATTTTTATCATGGATTTTTTTTGCTGATCTCGATCTGCAACAGAAGAAGAAAAAAAAAACAAAAAACAAAAAACAACACACACACACAAAAAATTTGCCAAAACCAAGAAAAACCCCGGAGAGTGTGTGCAGAGAGGGAGGAGGGGAGGAAGAAAAGACATTCACTGAGTGGGACAGATTAACGTGAACTGTCCCCCCCCTCCTAAACTCCTGGGAGAGAAAGAGATCCACTCTCCCTCTCTTCTCTTTTCACTGAAATATAACACACATTCGGATCCCAGGGCTCTCAGACAGTCTCAACTGATAGACAGACACATCGAGCTGCTTTTCCTGCTTCAGTTTGTTACTCCTCCTCCTCTTGCCCACGTCACCCTGACAATTACAAATAGGTCTCACACAAACCCATACCTGTCAATCTTTTTAATTGCTTTGTTTTCATTTTTTTCCCTTTCCCAGAGCTAAACAATATGACAAAAAAAAAAAAAAGTCTTAATACAGCACAGCATAAAAGATTCCTCATGTGAGACACGCGTTGAGGGGGTTGTTATTATAATCCACTTGCTAAAGTGCTGTGCAAGACGCATGTGCTGATTTAACTTCAGCAGAGGTCTTCTTCCAGCAAACTTAAAAAGAGAAAAAAAAAAAAAAAAAAAAAAAAAAAAAAAAAAAAAAAAAAAAAAAAAAAAGAGGCAGGCAGGAGATGATACTTCGCCGTGGCACACGTCTAACCAGCATTGAATTAAAAATGATTTATGGGAGATTACAGTTCATCCTTACTTTAAAATACCAACAGATTGCAGAGCGAGAACTGCAGCATATGAAACATACTGCTAATACATTTTGCACAGTATGTGTCTGGGGATTTATATAATGTTAGCTGCGAGAACAGAAGGGTTCTTCCCTTTTTTTTTTTTTTCTTTTTTTAAGTCAAGAAAGCAAATAAAAACTACCCAGCTGATTCCTAAAGGAAAACACTTGGAACTGCAGTTTTGTTCTTTTTCGGGCAGAAGGGGATTTTCTTTCTTCTTACTACAGCACAATTAAGCATTGAGCTGTTTATACTGGTAGGATGGAGTTAATTCTGGGAACTACACGCGACATCAATGCAACATCTCTATTACATTGCCTCTCTCCACGCAGTTGTACCAAGTTGGGATTGGCGGCTCTATCACAACATTGACTTCGGTCCCTTGACCCACTAGATTCCCTGCGCAGGTTCCCTCACCCAAACGCAATCTACAGCGAGAGGTGATTATATATTTTTTTTTTTTTTTTTTTTTTTTTTTTTTTTTTTAGAGAAGGAAGAAAGAAGCAAGGGGGGGGGAAAGGGAGGGTAAGGTTTTTTTGGCAGTATCAGAGATCGGGGTAAACCCCTGCGACCCAAGCAAACTGACAGCAGCCTGTTACCCTTCCCCTCCCGGCAGGACGGCGACGGCGGGAAGAGCTTCGCCCGTTTAAATCCCCTCCCGCGGCAGGCGCGGAGCCGCCGCCGCCGTCTCGGGGTTGATTCGTAGCACCTTGCGAGGAAGTGAAACGTTTCTCACGGAAGGGGCGGAGCGTCCGCCCGCGGGCAGCGGCTCCTCGGCGGCGGCTAATAACAACATTAGGAGATTAGCTGCAACTTCTCCCCACTTCTCTAACCTTTCCTGGCCGATAATTTACCATGCTTTCTTCCTACGCCTTTTAAAAATTATTATTCCTCCCTTTCTTTTTTTGGTAGGGAGATACCCTCTTTTTGTAAACTAAAGAATGGGGCGGAGGGGGTAATCCAAGGCGTTTCTCTCTGTCCGTCTGTCTACCTCCCCCTCCCCTATTTTTAAATCCCTTAGTCAGAGGCAGGGTGCAAACTAAAAGCCACCACCACCTCCTTTAGGAGATCCTCCGGCCCGCCGCACAGCCGCCTCGCTGGCAAGGCAGAGCAGGCAGGCAGTTGCAGGCGCTGGCGGGACGGACGGCCGCGGGAACGGGCCGGCCTCGCCCCTCGGTAGTGCCCGCGGCGGCAGAAGACGAGCGGCTGCTGCAGGGGGACCATCTTGCCGCTGCTCCTCCGGCGGCGTCTCCGTGCGGCGGAGGGGCCGGCCGGGAGGGGAGGGAGAACCTGCTGCACGGGGCTCTGTTTACGTACACACATAGCTGCGAGCGGGGAGTTTCTCCTGCCGGCGCGTCCCGCGAGCTGCCTGGAGAATCCCGAGCCGGAGCTCTTCCGAGCGGGGCGGGAGAGGCGAGCCGAGGCAGGGCATGAGTTTTAGCGCGAAAAGCGGCGCTTTGCTGAGCTCCCGGGCAGCGCGGTGGTGGTGGCGGCAGCAGCCGTCCTGCGGCGCGGCGGCTCACGCCTGGTCCTGCTTCGGTGGCGGCTGGTCGCGGCCCATCCTGGACATGTCCTACTCTCGTCACTTTCTGGATTTCCAGGGCTCGTCCATCCCCAGCTCCATGAAGAAGCTGGTGGTGACTAAGCTGAGCCAAAACTTCAGGGAAGCGGTCACCCTGCAGCAGGACTCGCCCGTGCCACTCCCGGGAGACGGAGACCTCCTGGTCAGGAACAGGTGAGCCCCCGCCCGCCCCCCCGCGCCCCGGCCCCGCGGCCCCCGCCGGCTCCTGGCACCTTGTGGCCTGCTCTCTCCCACATGCTCCCTCACTTCGGAGACCGGCTCCAAAGTTGTACCAGCCGCCATCTGGCGACTGTTAATTTCATTTTATTGTTGTTGTTTTGAACGGCTGGTGCTACAGCTCTGTCACCCTATCCACGTGTGTGGGGGTGACACTTCCTCCTCCTCCTCCTCCTGCGGCGGGGCTGTGTGTGTTTGTCTGTCTGTGCGCGCTGCTCCCGCCGTGCGCCTGCCCGAAGGAAGAGAAACACCCCAGGGCCCCTGTGCCAAAGGGGGGCGGGGGAGGGAAGAGGCGAGTGTTACGTTCGGTGAGTGCCGAGGAGGGAGTGAGACGGAGGGAAGCGCTGGCAGGGCCCTTCCCTGGGGCCTGCCCGGGCTCGTTACACGCACGTAGTGCCCGGGGCGTGAGCGTGTCCCCGGTGCACCCTCACAAGCCCCCCGGGGACGCTGCTGCACAGCGCCCCGACATCGCGGTGTGCGGGCGGGCCTGGCCCGGCCGCTGTCTCCTCGGCGCTGCCCCGTACGGCGCTGTCCGGCCTCGCCCCCGCGCAGCCGTGACTCACCGGGCAGGCCGCGGCCGGGCCCGCCGCCCGGGCAGCCCCGGCACCACCCCCAGCTCTGCGCGCCAAACGCGGAGGGGGCAGGGCAGCCCTCGGCCTCCCCCGCAGGACGCGGGCCCGCAGTTGTTGGTGGCTTTTAGAGAGGAGCCGGATCGGGCGAAGAGTGAGGAGGTGACATTTTGCTTAGCATAATACACCGTAAATCCCACGCCCGGCGCGGTGACCAGCTCGCCGTGAAATGAAGATTCCGAGGACAAAACGTGCTTCCCCCCAACAGCTGTCTCCATAAAACCTGTTTGTTCTCGGTGACTCCTTCCTCGACGCCCTCCTTCCTTGCGCTAAAATGAAACCTTTTAAAGTTCAGAGGTTTCTCTGCTCACGAGGGGAAGCCGAAACTCCGGGAACTTTGGAGCAGACTGCGTGGCTGGCACGGGAGAGAGCAGCGCTCTCAGGTTCTTGTCAGGCAAGGAAATCGTAGTAACACATAGTTTGCCATGCTCGCCGTGGGAGCTTAAAGATGTTAAGCAGCACTAAGTGGCTTGAGAATGCTGCGAGGTCTACTAAGGCAGAGTGTGATTCTGCATGTATGTGTGACACGTGTGTGTCCATATGTAACACACGAATACAGGGTGAAGAAGGGATAAGGAGAAAGAACAGGGACTCTTCCAGGAGCTGACAAGAAAGCTGCTGTGGCACTTTAATTCGAGGCTGACATCTCCCACTAGGATTTTTGAGACCAAAATTCCCTCTAAACCTCAAAAGTTTAAAACACTGTGTTGCTGCATCCACTAATGACTGAAGCAGTAATGGCGTGAAACAGCCGTCAGGCTGGAGTTAAATTCCTTTCTGTGGAAGAGATCGAAAGACTTGAGATACAAGTAGCAAGTACTCTACTTGGGCAATGCAAGGCAGAGTGACATCCTTGTTTCTCAATTCCCCTCCCTCCCACACATGCACTTGAAGCCTTTCTCAATCCAGTCCCCTGCCCACCCTCCTGTAAATTTTTAAAATTTAGTCTTTTTTTTTCTTTATTTTTTTTTCTTAAACAGTTTCCAGTGTAACTCTTCCCTTCTCCCTCTTCCCCCTCCCTTTGGTGAGTGGGCTCCCTGGGTGCTCGAGGGACATGCACACTTCATGGTAAAAGGGCTTGTGCCATACTCAAGGCAGGAGCTGGTCCACAGATTCAGGCAGGCAATTGCTGGGCCTTAACACATCAGCCTGTTACACACGTTCCTCTACTGGTACACATGCATGAATGGGGATGAAGGGGAGGAAGAGGTGAGTGATGAAGTCTAGTTGTAGAGTTCATACATTTTGTGTTATTTGTTATTTGTTTGGCATTTCTTCTCTTTAATGTTCTTTTCTGACGAATATCGCAGAAGACACAGTTATATTCACTGTATACAAGCTGCAGCAGGAAGCAAGTTGTCAATGTTTCCCCCTCTCTCTGTCACTCTTGGGAAGGACTATCCCATCCCGAAAGGATGAGTCTCTGACTATTTAGTTTTTTTTAAAAAACAAGCAACCAAGCTCAAATACAGCTATACATTTTCTAATAGGTAGAAGCATATAATTAAAAACAAAACAATGAAAGACTTGGATTCCAAGAGGCCATTTACAGATTTGTTCATTTTAGTCCCAGTCACACCCATGAATAGTATTAATTGCTCTGAGCTCTTCATGCAAAACAATCCTCATTCACCACAATAAAATCTGGTGTGGGATTTATGGGAATAGGAAATTAAAATCTATGTCTGGATAGATATTTTAAAATAAGATGCAGTTAGGGGAAACTTTCTTCTGCTATAGAGAGCTATGCCAGCAACTCTTATTTCTACTTTTTTATACAGAAAAAGATAAGCCATCTTTTACTCAAAAATCCCTCAAAACTAAAAATTAATTTGAGGTTTTGTGGGGTTTTTTGTTTTTATTTTTGTTGGGGTTTTTTGTTTTG